TGTGTTGATGTGGTATTTGCCCTTATCCCGCTCTACCTCTAGCACACATTTGATAAATTACCAGCGTAAAATCCCAACGGTCGTTGGGTCGAACTTTTCCGCTACTAAATTACCCAGGTCACTTGCCACGTTGTTGTTGTTAATACTTTTATATTATTTATTTTTTTATTACCAGTTCGGAGGGGTTAATATCTTAAATTAGCAGGAAAAATGAGCTATGCGCCAATTACCAGGTTAATAGTTTACACGCATAAATGCCCTGCAGGAAAAAAGACTAGTTATTAACTAGAACCCAACTGGCTTGTATTTTCGCACCAACTTCATTTTTTATCTATATCCCATATGTATGTATATATACAAATGGTATTTTCAACACGGCAACATTCTAAGAACTGTCAATTATTTAAATTTTTTAAATTTTTTGCTAGTTAAATACTAGTTCTTTTAGTCATTTTGAATTTCAATTTCACCAAAAGTATAAATTGAAAAAATAAAAATTAATTTTCTTGCAGCAGCAAGACTTGAGCTGTGAATCACAGGGTGCAATCTTCTAAACACTGATAGTCGAGTGACGATATAGCGTTCAATGTCATTTTTCGCACTTAGACGAAACGTTACAGAGAATGTAACTCAGCCTTGGTGTGCTGATGGTCAAAATTGTGATTTATTCCGCTACTAGTGACCTTCTATACAAGGAACCAACTATGTATGATCTCTTCTTCAAGCCACTTGGCTGCAACTAAAATTTTTTCATACTACTGTAGACTGCACTTTATCTCTGCAGGGTCTGTAGATATTCGTGTGTGCGCATGTACAAGTGAGCCCGCAACATTTCTTTATTAAAAAAAAGTACACCATTGCCCTATAACCACTTTGATGAATATTGCATTTCTAGTATTTTTGATTGAGTTATAAAATTTTAGTATTGCAATTTTGGTCTGCGAAATTCACCACAAAATATTGTAGTAAATATTTCATTTTTTAATTTGAGCTCACATGGAAATTAAGTGAAGCAACTTAAATGTTTCAGTTGTGGGATTAATTTAACTAGACTAATGCCACTCAATCCGCTTAAATCAATTTAAGTCTAACAGAACTTACAACTTAATAGAAAACGTGTCCCTTCCGAACTATGGTACTCTAATTAAGAGGCGGTGACAATTCTTCGCTGAGGTCGGAAACTTCTTTATGAGTTCCAAAGGCCGTTAGATAACTGGTTAGGTTGATTTCTCAGCTTCGTTCTGTTCCATTTAACTCCGGTCTTAACCAGTCGGATACCAAGGTCTTTGTGTATATTTGCTCTACGAAGGTGCCACAGCACACAGGTCATACCCCAGAGTTAAATACCATACACACGAGTTTACTATAAATGGATACTTTCAATATTGTGTTAGCCGATAGTTGTTGTTGTTTTAATTATATGTGTAATATTTTAAAATCTATGTGCATTTTCCATATATTTATATACATTTTAACCTAATCACAAGGAAAGACTGACCTTATTCTTCAGTTTTCCAAAGTAAATGCAGGCAAACTTCATTAGATACAGTTTAACCTCAGAATATATGAAAGAATAGCACACACAAGTTGTTTTTCACTGCTAAGTCTGATAGCAATCCAGCTAAAAAACGCAACACGAAGCGATCTCCTTTGGGCAGAATGCATTATCACTGTATGCCACTTGGCGGCATGCGTACTGCCTTCTCATTCTCAAGACCAGAGCTCGAGTCACGAAACGATCAACATGCAAAATTTAAAGAAGAATAAGGTGGCCCCTTTTCAACGACATTAAATAACCTTAAAATTCCTTTACCTTCTCCCGGCATCCTTCCCCCCCACATTGATATATTTGTCATCCCTCTAGCTTGTTTAGTTCGACTGCTGTGTCGTAGGTTCGTTACGTAAATGGGAAAGCGAAATCAAGAGCAAGAGCGTCGCGAAAAAACTTTACGCTGCGTGATTAAGTTATTACAGGCGCTAAGAGCTGGTTTATTCAATTCAATCCGGAAATCAAACGCCTATCAAGTCTACTATAGCCAAGTACCCGAAAGATTTCGAAAACGAGTCAACAGCGTAAGCCCAGACATCGCTTGTAACTGGATCCTTCCAGTGTGTCCCAATATTTGGCCTCCAAAGGGTCACCCTGTGACTTTTTTATTCCCTAGAAGGAAATCGGCGGTCAAAGGAAGCCATTTTGTGTCGATTGAGGACATCCGTAGCGATGATACTCGCGGACATCCCAGTCGAAGCGTTCCAGAAATGTAACGAAGCATGGAAAATGCGCTGGAAATGTTGTATAGCTGCCCAAGGGGACTACTTTAAGGGGGATGGAATAATTTTGAAATATACGGTTTTTATAGAATCAGCCTCATTACTTAATAGTCTCACCCTGTAAATATATATGAATATATACCAAAATTCGTTAGTTGCTATAACAAATGGAGCACCTACAGTTGATTCTAAGCTGCCTACGAACGGCTGATGGTTTTTTGTGAGAAGCCCTAACATAATTTTTTTGTTTAAATGAATCTTCTATATCTTTTGTGTATTGGTTATACAAAAACTCGAACCCTGGCCTTTCGAATGACAGTGCGCAATACTAACCACGCGGCTATCGTGATAGGTCAATAAGTATTATTGTTTGAGCGTCATATGGCCTTCCTCTGAAGAGCTGAAAATTCTCTATACCAACTTTCATGTGGAAATGAACTCGATGAAGTTCATATAATATCCTGTCGTTATATCACTGATTTTATAAAAAAAAATATATTTATTGTTATTCATCTAGCTAGGGATTGAAACACTTGATCCTCCAACATGCATGCATATATACGTGAACATATTTATATTTATATATACGTCTGTTCTAATAAAATTTGCCAATTTGACATCCCTTAACATATGTCCGCTACGTTGAATATTGAATTAGATGCTGAATGCTTGTTGTTTTTCCAAGCACATACGTACATACGTGACAGACATAAGTAGTTAGCTCTCACATGCACACATACAGGTATGTATGTCTTTGTGTATGTAAACATAATACAGCCCACATAGTTAGCTGAGAATTAGCTTTGTGCACACAACGCTGCCATAAGTAGCTGTCGAAATACTCCCACTTTTGGCTTGTACCACGTATGTATATATGTATATGTATATACGTATATATATAACAATAAATATATATGCGTTTGTCCATTTCAACTCTAGACTTGAAAATGCCTCTGAGTGCAAATATTTATAACAAAAACATTTAGTTGAGTGCCAAGGACAGAAGTTGTGTTCTGAAGTAGGAAATTAACAGAAAGACGCCAACCTCCCTAAAATGTAGGCTAACACATCCCTAGAAATATAATATAAGCATAAAATAATACAAACAAACGTGCAATGTAAATATTTTGGTCCAATATGAATTCAAGTTGAATTGTTTGCTTGGCTAAGCTGCCAAAAATGGAATTCTTAGGTTGCTTGCCAGTCCACTGGAAGAGGGGATAGTTTCTGCTGACACACACACATGCTCACATATCAGCAAACATACTGTTGGCGTAGTAATCTTGAAAGAGAAAGCATTGTTTTCACATGCTTTCTTGGTTAATTAAAAATGTCTTAAGACCTTTTGGGACGAAGGTCGGTTGGTTCGCTCGGTGCGGTTGCTGACTAGTTGGCTGATTGGTTGGCACTTTTAGTTTGAAAGGTCGAAAAGATCTCTGCTGCCGCCTTTGCCACTTACTTATTTGTACAATTGAAATTTGTTAGTGCAAAAGTCTGTGTCTGTCTCTGTCTCTGTGCCTTATGGCGTGCCATTAGCATGTGTGAGCTCACAAACGCAGTTACTGGCCGTTTTCATGCATGTTATAGTATACTATTTAAATATGTGTTTATTGTCTGTATGTGTGTCTGCGTGCCCACTTGCCTTCATTAGCTCTGCGATGGAAGGATATGTTTGCCTCCCATTCAATTATTACTCCGTCAACAGTTCATTCATGGGCTTGTACGTCCTTTCCAGGGGAATAAGGTCAAAAGTGTTGAATGTTAGAAAATAAATTTAATTGGCTTGCATATGATATGTGAGAGAAAATATTTTCTCATTGCATTTCAAAGTGTATATAACTATATATATTTAATTAACACCATTTTTAACATAACTGATTATGTAAATTCAGTAAAGTTTTAAGTATTATGAGGATTTTTTGCCGTATATAGAGTGTCAATTGAACATAATAAATAATATATAAGTAAACGAATATTCCGAATTAATTTTCTAGTAAATGTAATTTAGACGTCATAAAACATTATATTTTTTGACGTTCAGAAAACGTTCGTAGCATCACATAAACATATACATATGGATGTATTATATATGCACGTATGTACAGAGAATAATTCTTTAGTTAAAGATTTTTCCCATTTTAGCTGAATTTACTTTTAAGTATAATTTTTCACTTAACAATTTTAATTTTAATTTTAATTTTAATTTTAATTTTAATTTTAATTTTAATTTTAATTTTAATTTTAATTTTAATTTTAATTTTAATTTTAATTTTAATTTTAATTTTAATTTTAATTTTAATTTTAATTTTAATTTTAATTTTAATTTTAATTTTAATTTTAATTTTATATATTTCTTTTATAAATTTCTATTATTGAGCAACAAAGATGAATAAAAACAATATTTGCATAATTTAATTCATGGATTAATTATGGTTTGTTGAACAATTGTATGAGAATTAAATTCATTAAATACACAGAAAACATTTGCAATTTAATTAAACATTTTAAGCTTAAATTCTTGCGATACATATTAAAATTTATTAAAAGTTATTTTAAATATTCTATATTTTTGCCGTAAGCTTTTATTTTAAGAAGATTTAAATATTAAGAAATATTCGTATTAATATTGTTCAAATATATGTATGGCATAATAAACACAAGTTTGCGCGGATATATAAAATTAATGTGTGTAAGGAAAAACATTCATATACACACGTATGTGCGTTAGTATTACGGTGCAAATATTTGCCTATATTTAATGCTTTAAGTTATTTAATCAAGCGCAATTAGTCCGAAGACTTAATATAATTATTTATTTTTCTTTTGTTGCAAAAACCATCAAGCTAATGCATTCCATGGATAAATACAATATTTTAATTGGTTTTCTTAGATAAATAACTTCTCAAATATGCAGCTCAGTAAATACATACATACTAACATTATATGCAAGCTTATAAATATAAATAAGCCGAAGATTAAATATATTTTTCCAAAAATTAGCTTTAAGTACATATGAAAAATATACCGTTGCTAAACAAATTAACGCTGTCGTATTAATTTCACTTTTGTTGGAATTTTCTTTATCTCCTTTAAATCAGCTACAAAATGACTTTCAGCCTGCACTGTGCACTATGAAATACCACATTTGCGGTATAAAATTACAAATTTGTTTTTTTTTTCGGCATCCACATCCGGTGGTTGTCGGAAATGTTTAATTCATTAGCTATCATTTAACAGCAATTTAAATATGTTCATATAAAGATGTGTTTTTGTCATAATTTTGTACAATATTAAATTCCTTTTTGACTACAGATTTCTTTAGTATTTTTCCAACAAAGAACGATCTATTATTTCTGCATTAAACTGAGGTCTTTTGTTTCTATTGACAAAAACATTTAAGCAAACGAATTTGTCTGGCTTTTGTTAAGGACATTTCACCAGCTGAATCATACTCTATAGGCAGGAATAGATATGAATCTTTTAATTATTCCGCCCCCCGACTATGTGGTGGATGCATAGCAACCTCGCAACCCAGCTCTCTGAGCTTTTGGTGAGTCACTTTAGATTTGTGTGATCTGAGGTTGTCCTGATAAAATCCAATTCATCTCAGCTTCCTGGTGTTTACTTCCTTCGCACGGTCCGATGGCTAACAGTACAGGTTCGAATTAAGAGTTGGGCTGTAAACGAGCAGCTCCAAGTGGATGATTACATGCCGATTCCATCAAACACAAAACAAAACTTTCTTTACCGTCTATTCTGGATTGGAATACACTTGTTATGGGTCACTGCCCTTCGATCCCGTCCGTTATCGCTTGACTTTGCTGTATGTGGTTCAGCTATGCTCACCAGTCACCATGTGCTACGATTCGCAGATGGAAATTCAGTCGAGCCACTTTTTCTCAAGTGGTTTCTGAATGTATTTTATGCAATGTCAAGCTCCTAGGTCATCGAAACTGTGTGCAAATGCTTTCAGTCAAAGCAACTGGGGCTGGTTATCGACAATAATAGCAGCTCATGAATTCTGAAACTAACTTATCTTTGTTGACGGCAGATGCTCATCTTCGCTTCGATAAGATACTAGCTGCGACCCCGAAACTTAAGCACAGCAAGTATTTACAACGCAGACAGACAGAATAATTACGCCTCGACATCGATGTTAAAACCGCAGACAGTGACGTCGGAGCCTAGTCACCGTGTTTGCTTGATGACAGGAGATACTTTGAGTTATTTTTGTTGACTACCAGACCCATTCCCTTCGTCCTTTTTGCAGTTTTCTAGGCCTATGAGGGCGTCATCTTGCTTGGCATACGCCAGCAGTTGCACACTCTTTTAGATTGCTTTAAAATCTAAGAAATACTGTTGAAAGAACGATATTAAAATGCCTTTGATAATTGAGGCTGACCTGGGGATACCTCTTTTTTTGAAATGAGGAGAGCAAGCTCTCTTTGACCTTGCTTTTCTCATTGTCAGCTTTTCGGCGTCCCTTTAAAAGCGCAGTTGGTAGGCCATCAGCTCCAGCCGCTGTACAGTTTCCTCTAAGGTATAGATTGTTTCCTTCTCGAATATTCTCCGAACTTGAAATCATCGGTAAGCCACATATCGGCCAGCTTCTTCAGCTCTTCATTCTCACGCATTTCATCTCTGGTTTGGCGAGTAAAAATATATTTCTCTAGGGAGGTAGCGTCTGGTGCACAAACCACTTGTATTTAGTGGCATGCCGATGTAATTTCTAAATCGAATTGAGTAAAGAAAAATTAATTAGTAGCGATGCTTTAAATCTAACATTTCATATAGATCAATATAGATACCATAGTCTCCCGGCTCCCGATTCCTACACAACCATACATTTGTGCTTTGTAAAACACACATTACCTTCTTTGAAAAATTCCAAATTATTGAATTTACGCCAACAAATATTAGAAATTGTCTTGATAAATTTTTGAAATAAAATTCAACAAATTAGGCTTTTTTGTACAAAGTTCAGCCTCAAAGCGTTCGCTTCACTCAAACACACACACACACAGCATAAAAATCATCTGCTTTCAATTTCTAACATTTTTTGCTTACTACGTCAAGAAGAAGAGAAGAAAAGTTCTTTGCCTGAGTGGGCAAGTAACTGATGGAGATTGTCTTTAGTACTCTCATTGCACTGCGTCTCCTTAGCCGGCTGCTTGGCTATAACGAATTGTCAGACTTTTAGCCTTAATTGCTCCTTTGAGTTAAAAACGCAGAAAGTGTATTGTGCCTACGTGTGTATGGGTATACGGACTCAATATTATTATATATATACATATATATTACTCCTGACAATTGCAAGTGTAAATTGGGAAGAAACCAACAACGCATTCTAAATCAGTCGCAAATGTCAACACGTGTCTCTTTCAGATGGCATGCGTATCTAACAAATAAGAATTTGATTAAACAGTCTTCTAAAGTATTTATTTCTTTTTTTCTATTTTTTTTTTTACATTTTATTGTTGTTATTACTTTTCTTAAGTTTTTGTCACTTGTCTTGGCGTCCTCTGAATTGGAAAATTCGCTTAGAAACGATATTGTAAGCTTTCGCTTGAGTTGGTTACTAAATTTGTGCGCCAAATACCTTTGAGACAATTGGATGATTCAGTGTAATTACTAATACTCAAACGCCATTCAGGCATTTACTTGAGACGATTCTCTTAAAGTTCGTCGAAAATTTCTTTAGAAATGTAATTGAGTTCTGTTTTTATTCTATTTTTATTTTTAGTGAAGTGTTTTGCAAATACAAGTGTTTTACGGTAATAGATTTCTCAATCGCTTTTCAATTTGCAGACAGCCCTTGAAGTTGTTTTGAAATTTAATAATGAAATGTTATTTGATTTTGCCTGGTAAAATTTCAAATTTTGTTGCAGTATTTAAAAGGTGAATTTTGTTCAGATTCAGTTGTCAGTGAAATATCTAAATGTTCCCGAGTCTGAGAAAAGATGGTATAAGCAGAATAAAAGGAGATAAGAAATGGTGAGATACGCTAGGTTATGATAGGAAAGAGAGGGTAGAACCGTATGCGACAGGATGGGATAAGATAGAAAGCGATGGAATAGGATGGGGTGGAACCGCATTGGATAGGATGGGGTAGACTATGACAGTTGAAATTAGGACAGAGTTGAATAAGCAAGGATATGATATAGTGAGACAAGAAATCTAAAACCAGCGGTTTGCAGCTGAATATACCATAGTTTAAATAAAAATAGTTCCGAATCTGATATCTGCTGTATATTGAATAATGATTTTTTAGCCTTTTCTGTAATTTTTTGTCTCATCTTCTCTCAACGTCAGTGCAGATTGATTTTGAAGAGATTCGCATAAACTGGACAATAATGGATAGAAACAAAAACACGGTTCTACGTGTTACACAGCCTACTTTACAATCGATTCCTTCTGCTCTGTGCTCCAAAAAAGCATAATTAATGAACAACATCACAATTTCTATTTGACTGCGTTGGGTAGATTAGGATATGGGTTTTTTGTGGGAAGTCGTTAAGGGTAAGGCCACGTCCACCAAATGGAGTTGATTTATGACTTGAGTTACCTAATTATAATCGTCGCCAAGGCCATATAGCCATTGTGAAAAACGTAAAGAAGTAGTGCTTGATAAGATTTTCAAATGTGCCATCCATCTGTCAACCATGCCACTACATGAAATGTCGCATTCTATGAAGACTCTGTACAATGACATTTTCGTGAGAAAACCGCTAACGTCACATGCAATAGGAGAACGGGTAAGCAAACCCACTTTTTTACGCGTAGAGGCTGAAATTAGTGAAACGTTGAAATATATCTTCAACTTTTGTCAGGTCTTATAAGACGTCCAAAACCTTTGCTATTCAAAGAACTGAAGGAAGCTTCGGTTTAATATCTTAGTTTTATGAGATAGGAAAAATACGCTACTTTCTACAAATTTTCTTCGAAAAAGTTGAAACCACATAAGAGGCAGCTGAAAATGTGGGCTATTTACACGGTGATGAACAGTCAATTATGCAAAATTTTTGGATTCGTTCATTTTGTTCCTATAATTTTAGCGTAAATGATGATTCACGACGTAGCAGACCAGCCGTAGAAAATTTCGTTAAAATAATGAAAATCGTCAAGCCATACCGTCTTACGAGCACTGTTCCCTGAGAGCTAAGCGTTATAGAAAAATGTCTTGGAATCACTTAAAAATGGCTGGCTACACAAATATCGAGATGGCATATGAATTTCCACCCGCAAAACGCTGCTGAAGGTCTGCAAAATCCACCCAATTCTGAAGCGGATGGTGAATGCTGATGAACAGCGAATTACTCACAGCAACGTCAAATGAAAATGGTCGTGATCAAAAAGCAGCGATTGACGGTGAGAATGGATTTGTTTCTTGTATCGTGGGCTTTGCAAGAAATCATCGGACCAGTGCCATCAAATCAATTGGACCGTCTGAATGACACAATTGCTCAGAAGTGACTCCTTTTGGCGAACAGGAGGGGAATTGACAACACATACCGGTCGTGATTCGGTAAAAGCTCTAAGAACTTGGTTGAGAGGTTCTTACGCATATACCTTATAGTCCTGACCTCGCTGCCAGTGATTACCATTTGTTCCTGGCTATAGCGAATGATTGGGTTTGGGAAAAGTGGCTTGAAGAGGAGCCTTTGAAAATCGATTGCTCCAGTTTTTTTGCAATAGGGTCAAAAGTTACTACGAGAGAGGCATAATGACATAACCTGCAAAATGACAAAAGGTTTACGGACATAACGGTGCATATTTGACATAAATCGGATAATTCTCACTATGGTAACTTAAGCCTTCAATTTATTGCAAAAATAATGGAACTTTTTTACAAGTGCAGCTATTCATATAAAAATATGAATGTATGTGTGGGTTCGTGCAAAAGTTTTACGACAATAACGACGGCGATGTTTATCCAATATAATTCACTTGTAAGAATTTTTACGGATTTCAGAAAATCTTTATATATTTTACCAGACGCAATAAAAGTCTACTTATTCCTATATTCATACGCACATTTATATATGATAAAATTTCTTCTACATTTATCAGTTTATTTCCAGAGTTTAATAGTCTCCTCTATTTATTGCATTTATTTACAGGCAACTTTTATCACCAAATATACAACAAAAACATTACCATGTGAGTGGTTATCAGGTGGATGGTAATCGGCATGTAAGTACCAACAAACATACATACAAACGAAAAAAAATATGTACTTATTAGTTTCGAGAGATAAACATACATACTAACACATTTTAGTTTGTTGAAATATTTTATGAAAATGTTGATGAATTCGCAAGAGTTTGCCATAAACTCAGTTCACGCTGAATAGATCTTTCTAGCACTTTTGATTTTCGTCAAGAAAATCTGCTAACTCAATGTGTATTTTTACTATGATTTAAAATGGGTATGTATAAAGCTTAATAAGCACTTGATGAACAATGTGAGATGCATAAAAAAATTATATTGACTTGAGTTGATTTACGCCAAAAAGCGAGATGTGTGAAGACGCGTCAGCACTCATGAATACTACGAATTTATTCCCATGCCAAAAACTAAAAGTAAAAATTCGATGTATATGTATGCAAGTGTATTTTTATGAGCATATTATAAGAGCTAAGAATTTACCGTTATACTTGTTAGTATTTCCTAACGTGACTTGATTCTGCTAGAAACCTGAACTCTCGCCACACGAGACAGGCGATGATGTATAGACTTTACTCATACATATGTACATGCTCCGACTCTATTCAACAAAATAACTTTCTTTCCTTCACTCACTCACTCCTTCACTCAAACCGTTATCGTTTATTTACAACGCCTACATTATTTTCAGTTTACGCTCGTCTTGCGTGCTCGATATGATTATTTTTCTTACACTTGACTTTTGATTGAATTTCGTAACGGAAGCTGCAAATTGCGAAACTTGAATTTCAATTACTCAAGCTGTTAGCTTAAGTACACATGCATGCTTGTATACACATATTTACATATGTGTATTTGTATACATTGCTTATATATGTGTACGAATGGCTTTGCGAAAGGCAAGCGAAAATATTCGATATTCTTTTACTTTTGCCATTCCGCAAAAATTTCAGATATATTTTGTGTATTTATATACAAGTATATACATTGTATGCAAATACATATGTACATGTGTGCTTTTCTCAAGCACTAGGCGAGTTGATAGATAATCAAAAAAGACATCTTCTTTGACAAAGAATTAGGAAATGCTTGGACTAGAATTTAAACTAACCAATCGAAATAGTAAAATATTTAAAGGACATACTAATATCCTTAATAAGAAGGAAACTAAAAAGAAGTAAATATTTAAGTCTAATTTACCGTTTTCTCATACAAACGTTTTTTTAAAGAAAAAAAAAACTAAGAAGCATTAGAATACAAACTAAGTCGGATATTAAAAAGTGATAAGAGGATTACTCTAAAGTAAAAGCAAAAAAATAAAAATAAAATAAGTAGAACAAAACAAAATCAAAAAAAAAATATTGTAGTATTTTAATTATTAATAATTTTAACGAAATAAAATATAAAAAGTTTAAATGAAAAAAACTTATTAAAATTAAATTAATTGAATAAATTGAAATAAATTTAAATAACTCACTATGATATAATGAATTAATATAAAAAGAAATAAAAAAAATATAAAAAAACTAAATAAAATAAAATAAAATAAAAAACAAAATAAATTGAAAGAAAACAATAACAGTAAAATGATATAAAATAAAATAAAAAATTAAACAGAATAAAATAAATAAGGTAAAATAAAATGAGCTGAACTAAAATAAAATAAAAAAAAAAACAATTAAATAAAATAAAATAACATCATATAAAATAAAACAAAATAAAATAAAGAAATTAACACAAAATGAGTTGTACTAAAATATAACAAAATAAAATAATCTTAAATGAAATAAAGTAATTTAAAAAAAAAATAATAATAAAATAAATAAAATAAAATAAAACAAAATAAAATAAAATAGAAAAATAAAATAATATTTAAAGAACAAAAAAATTATAATTAAAATAAAATCAGATACAAAATACATATAAAAAAGTAATTAATAAGAAATGAAATTTAATACAAAAAATAAATGAATCTAAACAAAATGAAAAAAATAAAATATATTAAAATGAAAAAAAGAAAGAAAAATAAACAACCGGAATTAAACTAAATTATTTAAATTAAATTAAAATCAAACATACGTAATAAAATAAAATGAAGTAAATTAAAATGAATTGAACTTAAATAAAATAAAATAATATTTAATGAAATAAATTATAAAATATTAAACAAAATTAATTAATATAAAATAACTTACAAAATATAAATAAAAAATGTTGTATACAAAAAATGAAATAAAATACAAAAAAAAATAAATTAAATTAAACAAATATAAAATAAAAAAGTATAACAAAATGAAATAAAATAAAGGAAAATAAAGTATACTTTTAAATTAATAAAACTTATTAAATTCAATTATATATATTAAATAAGATAAAATAACACAAAATAAAATAAAAGTAATGGAAATAACATGCAAAAATTAAAGAAATTAGTTTCTAACACAAACAATAAATAAAATAAAGACAAGAAGAAAGTTAGATTTAATAAAAAATATATTAACCTAAGATAAATTTTATTAAAACAAAAAGTAAACATAATAATAATAATAATAATAATAATAATAATAATAATAATAATAATAATAATAATAGTAATAATAATAATAATAATAATAATAATAATAAAAATAATAATAATAATCAGAACATATCATAAAAAAGTTAAATTAAAGTAATTCAAACAAATTTAAATAAAGTTAAATTAAATTAAATTCATTTAAAATAAAACAAATTGAAATATTTTATAAAGTAAAATAAAATAAATTAAAAAAAAAATTATTTAAATTTGGCTACATTAAATCAAATCAAATACTATAAACTCGGATAGAGTTATTCCTGGTATAGTCCCTATCAAAACAGTCAAAATTTCATTAAATAAAAATATTATTTAATTTTTTGAACTGCGGGCGCCCCTCAGCAGGGAACGTCAGCTCTCTTCGGTGTATTTATGATATGAAATAAAAGCTCCTCATAAAAATCAATCATATACACTATATATATATATAAGAAGGAAAGTTATTTAAATCAATTATTTGTGGCAGATATTGCTCACATCTCAGCCTTTTAGTCTCCCACATAAACTCACCTTTAGGAAGTTACGGTAAGCATTTAACATTTACTTTGTGCGTTTTTCCATCAGAATGGAAATAGCTTCATTAGTCTGGCCATACAAACTCAGCGCAATTTGAGTATACATTTATATATATGTATATATATATATATATATATATATATCTGTGTACAGCCCTCCTATGGGGAAGAACTGTAGAAATTAAATGTTTACTCACAAATTCTTTATTTTTTTACATAACTTTATAATGATATATTTATCTACAATGTAATAAAGTTTCAAGAATTTTGTTGAAGAAAATTATGAAAAAATGGCGTACTTCGGTTAAAAGGTTTAATTTTGTTATCTAAATTCGAAAATAAATCATTTCACGTAAGCCATGATTTGCAAACGCGATTATGCAAATGAGCGAAATACCCTTCTCATTGTCTTACTATAACTATTTGTTGCTGTATCATACTATCAATGTATGTATGATATGATACTGCACATCAATTTATTAGATAATCGCTATTTTTAAATAAGTCATTTAATATAACCTCAATTTACTGAAGCGCTTGCCAAATGCAAGGTTGATTACTTTGTACAAAATTAGCTTACAAAATAACCCAAAATAGGATACAAACATAAATAAAAAAATATTCATCCAACTCTTTGGCATAACCCACACGCATTATAATTTAAATGATATTACTATTTTTTAAGCCATACAAATGCCAACAACGCAACCCTTTCATGATTGACGGTCAATTATGCATGAATGTACATGCGTACGCACATCAGGGTATTTAAATACACTTGAGCAAATACATGCAAATAATATAAAATATTTAACTCGACATAACAAATACGACTGACATGGGATTTACCGCTTCTCTATTAGGGCTTCTGTTGCTGCTCCTGCTCTACTTTGCTTGCCTTACTCAAGTGACTTTGCGAATAATAAGAAAATCCAGTAATTTGATGAATAGCTGATGACCTTTAGATGCTTACGCGCACCAATGCACCCGAATAGATAGGTGAAAGAGGGACGAAAAGTGGAGTTGAGTAGTTGAAAGGGTTTGCGAATTCGGTAGTAAACTACGCATAAAAAGCAAACACGCTTACAAGTAATGCAAACTAGCAAACGGATGAGTAACAAAAGGATTCACAAATAATGCAAATAAATGAGAAAATTTTATATATATACATACGAAAATGTTATCCACATTTACATACATACATATATAGGTGTGTTTGTATGCTAGGTTTGTGTGTAAACATGCAGAAATTTAAACATTTAAAGTTACTTTGGTGATTTTCCATCAGATTGCGTATACGCACTGTTGGGCAAATATTTGAAGTGAATTGTGTTCTACTACACTTGAGAGTGTTCTCAAGGAAAATATTGAAAGTTTTTTTGTATGAAAAAAATTACTAAAATGTATCTTCATCGGTTTGGAAAGCAAAGCAGATATTTTCATCTGATATCATCTTCCTACTTAATTATTAAGAATAAATTACGATTTATGATAATTTCTTCTACTGGTAGGCACAAAAAGTTTTAAGAAAAAAACTTAATTTCAGGCGTGAAAATAAAGGCTGAAAGTTGAACTAAATACTTTTTATATATAAATGGTACGGCATAGATAAAAGTATCTATTCGAGTTTTAAAGTGTTTCTTTTTTTTCAAACAATAAAAAACACTTTCGAAGAGCATCGCTGAAATTCATTTAATCGTTTACTAAAAAGAGGTGGATTTTAGAAATTCTTTACAGTTATCTGTGCTCTGTAGAGCTTTTACGACTTGTATGCTGTTCTTTCCGTAAATTAAATATATTTATGTTTACACCCAAACAAATATACATTGTTATTTACACACCTTCTCTTGCATTTATGCGCACAATACGCAACTTTCAATGTAAGAAAGTTCTTTAAATAAATAAAAGTAAGGAAGATGCAGGTTCGGTTCAAGCTGGATTTTAAGTTAATAATAAAATAATAATGTGCACTTTTTAATCGCTGAAACAATTTTTGACCTACCACCTCCTACAATTCCCTACCGATGGCGACCGCTATAATCTATTGTTATCCTTCTAAATAAAATCAAATGTTTGTCGAACTAGGACTCGAACCGTGGCCTTACGAATGGCAATGCGCAACTGCTAAGCTATTGTGGCCTGTGCAGTAGTCTGAGCAATTAAGCAAGTACTGTGGAACGAACTCCACGAAGAATCAAGGCACTGTAAGGCGATACAAAGTCCCGGATTTTTCTTTCGCACTCAGATAATATTTCGTGACGTAAGTTTGATCAGGCGTACGAAATTCACATGGAAAAATAATTCGGTATTCGAGTCACCATCGAGCCATCTGAAAATCAATGAAAACGTGCTAAAAATTTTTCAACCATTTAAATGCTATGCAGCTGTTCTTCCTATACCCTCTTGGGCTTACCTCTCTAAAAACTCTTCTTTCCTCGTCGTAGCCTCTGCGAATTAGCTTATTTTGTTTACTTTTCATTCTCAATGAATACTAGAATTTTTTGCCAAACATAAACCAAAAATAAGTTCTTGTCTTAATCTTAAACCATCTGCCGTCCGACGAAAGTATGGCTTAAAAAATGTTATCAAAGAGTACGCTTCATCAGAGACGACGACAATGCAGAAGGAAGAAATCAGAGAAAATCATAACAATATAAAAAATTCATTTTGAATGTCACAATTATTGCATGACCACGTAAGACCGCTCTGAAAAACAGTAACGTGTTGATAACTAGCATGATGTGGCTTTTGATGGAGCCCAAAATTAATAGAAAGGATCGCGTTATTACCTGTTAATTCAATTAAGAACACCAAGTGGACACAGATTAGCTTCCACTGATCTTTCATGCTCTTCTAATGCTCTTTCTTTAAGAAATATTTTCGGAGCTGGAGCCTGATCAACAACTTTGATTCATCTCTTTAGAATGTGTATCTTTTCTCATTGTTAGATTAAGAACCCAAAAGATGGTGCAACACTTTGTCCACAAGCACGTTTCGTAAAGAACGGGGCGGGACTGGCCTAGAGATTACAGGATGAGTAAAGCCAACCGTCTAAGCTTTTTATGAATGCGAACTTCAAACTGAATTGCGTAGAGGATGGTGGCTAAGATTGAGATGTCAAAGCTTAAGCGCATAAATTTTCCATTTTAATAAAATCAAAAGTACATTTTCGGCAAAATATGTATACACCACCGAGTCGGCGACAGAAGGGATGCAGGCAATTCTTATCAAATCAAAATTACAGAGAAGGTCAATAAAAAAGTGGCAAATAGAGATAAGAAACCGAAATCTTAAATATGCAAACATGTGAAAATTAACTATATAAATAATTGATGTCCTTGCGACTTACGAGATATATACATATAAGCGTGTATGGATGTATGTGTATACGTAAGCATTTTGCGACGAGACAGTTACCTACCTTTCAAATGCTTACACGAGCCACACCTTATACGTGTGTGTGTTTGCGTATGCGTATGTATGCGCCCTCTTCAATGTGGATTATGCAAGAAAGATTTTTTTTTTTCAAAATACACAAATCTCATCAATTGCAAAAGCCCAGATTGCCAAAACCAGTTACACACACACATAAATGCACAGATCCATACATACGTGTACATACCATTTCGTTGCTCTCATTTACCTACCTTTGGGTTTTGCTTATTCCCTGCCCATTGACATGAGGCAAAGTTGGCTATTTGTCTTTCGGACATTTTATATACATACGTATATATGTGTGCACATATGTGCATATATTTTTATATACATACGTTCGTGTGCATACGCTGCTGCTGTTGTTGGGTCAGCCTCGTGTGTAAAACGTTTAGTTGGCTCCAATAAATCTGTGCTAGTGACTAAACTACTACGATAATATATGCAGGTGTGAGTGTGTAGGTATTTTTTACAACAAGAACTCACTGAAAATTTACTTTTCGACAATTTTGCGTCTGCACTCGGGAACGTCTTCTCCTCGGAAGGCATTTTATATATAAGTCCAAACATGCAAACATATATACATTGAAGCAAGTAAGCAGCATTGGAAGCAGCATCATTTTCGTCGCAGACTTTAGTGGTGTGGAAATTAAATTAAAAAGAAATTCAAAGCGTTTTTTCTTTATTTATCATTGCTGTGCTTTTCCATGTTTACTTTACATATTCAGATTCGATTTATTTATTTTTTTAATTTATTTTATTTAAACTTTTTTTTTTTTGTTCTTTACTTATCTCAACACTGCAATGACAGACGCTTGGCGGCAGATCAGGTGTACATGCCCTCACACAAATAAGACTTTACTTATGTATACTATGAATAATATATGTAAGAACATATGTAGGTCTTAAATACCTGCTGTACGTTTGCATGTGTAAGCATTTTTCCGTTGAATTTTAATCTAGACACGAAAGATCCATCTACAATATAATCATTCCTCGATGCTTATAATCATATGTGTGTGAGTGGTAATGTGTTAACTGCATACATGTACGTATGCCAAAATCAAAGATCCAATTGAAATGAGGAAATTAGATTGGCAAATAATTTAATTTCATGCCAGAAAGCAGAAGTAAATGTCGGCAAAAAGACATTTTATTTATTTAAACGTAAATGCAAGTACGTATGCCTTTTCATAAAAAGACCTTATCCCATATGTAACTTTGTATATATGCAAATACATAATTATTAAACCTACAACAAAAAAAAATTAATAAATGAGTGAATGTCATGAACTCCACATAAAAAATAAAATAAATTAACTAAAACTTAGTAAAGTAAAATGAACTAAATTAAATTAAATATAATAATAAAATAAAAACAAACCAAAAAAAATATAAGAAGAATAAAATTAATATAAAATAAAAAAAAAACAAAACAAATTAAAATAAAATAAAATGAAATCAAATATTACAAAAAAAATATATGAAACAAAATAAATTAAAAAAATAAAATAAAACAAAAAAAATATAAAACAAAATGAATAAAAAAACAAAGCAAAAAAAATAAAAAAATACAATTTAAACTAAATTAAATTAATATAAATTAAATTAAATAGAATAAAAAATAAATAAAATAAAATCAAATCGAATAAAATAAAATAAAATAAACTAAATAAAAATTAAATGAAATAAAGTAAAATAAAATAAAATAAAATAAAATAAAATAAAATAAAATAAAATAAAATAAAATAAAAAAAATAAAATAAAATAAAATAAAACATAGTTTATAAAATATAATATAAAATATAAAATGAAATAAAATTTAAAAAAAAAATTAAAAAAATGAGGTAAAATTAAATAAAATAAAATAAATTAAGATTACATTAAATTAAATTGAATTAATTAAAATAAAGTTCTCTTAAATAAAACAAAATACATAAAAAATCAAATAGAATAAAATAATATAAAGAGTAACGTGAATTAAAAAAAAATTAAAGTAAATTAAAAAAATCAAAATAAAATCCAATTAATAAACAAAAAAAAATACAAAATAAAAAAAATTAAAGAAATTAAGTAAAAAGTAGATAAAAGAGGAATATAACATAAAATAAATAAAAGTGTAAAAATAACTTAATTTAAAAATTTACCGTTAAATTTAAAGAACTAATTACTTAAGTTGAATTCAAAACTTTATTTACGTTTAATTAAACTTGACTTTTTCATAGTTTCGCTCAATGGTAAAATGTTTCAAACACAATGAATACAATTGTAACCACAAATGCTTAACCACATTTCGAAAGCGATATGATTTATTATTATTTAATATCACATATGATTATATTTCAAATATGATTACATAATTTTGCATAGGAAAGTGCATACGCCATAATGGTTTATTTAATTAAACTTTGATGAAGGCTTTTATGCACTATAGTATATACATACGTATATATATATATATATATATAAGTACTTCGTAGGCAGAAGGAGAAGCACACATAGTATGCGTATGAAATGAAAATTTGTGGTTGCAATTCATGTTGCTTTTAATTATTTCGCTTGCTTTTGCCGTTTAAATTAAAGATGAAATTGATATAATAAAATTTATAATAAGTTTTTTTTTCAAACAAACATTTATTCATTCTTTCGCTCTGAATTTCTCTATTTGCAGGACATTGAGCATTGCTATTACCATGGCACCGTTAAGGACTACCCTGGTGCTAGCGCCGCCTTCCATACGTGCAATGGTGTCAGCGGCGTCATACACATCGGCAACGAAACGTTCGTTATACATCCCTTCTATGGAGGCGATCTTTCGGTACGTAATAGAGAGCAATTGATGAATAAAGTATTTTTTTTTTTCGATATTTACTTCTCATCTTATTTCAAAAGTAATAAATACACAATACATTATTTTTTATTATTTTCAGCAAAATCTATTTTTTATTAAATAAATTTAATTTGTATTTCTCTTTCCTTCATAAGCACACAACTTTACATGCTCAAGAGACCACGTGGTTTTAGTAAATCCACAAGTTGAAATCTTACTTTTATGCTTCGCCTCAGTCGAAAATCCCCTTTAAGTTGACGCTTTAATTTTCGTTTTGCCATTCGTAAATCCCTTGTGTTTTCACATGCATTTTCGCTGATTCAAAAGTGTTTTACAGCCTCACTTTATACAGTTTTTCATGTTATTTTTATATCTTTCTCTCCACACTTCCCCAACATCCCCGTTGTGTGTTAGCCACATTTTCACGCTCAAATGCTGACAATCGGCCTGAATTTTGATTTATATCAGCATCTAAGCGAAGTCGGCATGCAAATGCGCAAACAAACGTACTTACATACATTCACACTTACGAAATTCGAGTACTTGGACTGCCATTTATTTTCACGCAGCTACCAACATTTATCTACAGATCTGTTTTTCAATTGTGAACTTTAAACGAAATCCGCATTCATATCCAAAGTAAATCTGCAGTTCGTTGTTAGGAGCAGACTTGGTTCAGACTGTTGGTTCGCTTGATTTCAATTGCAATCGCTTTTTTCTGCACTGAGAGAAAATTTGTTGAAATTTTTTTTTTAAGTTCTTTGTGTAAAGAGTGACAAAGAGTGAAATGTAGCCCTATTTCTCAACGTTTTATGGGTTTTGATTCTTAGAATAAATAACTTAATATTATTGAAAATATTGCGGTAAAACGGATTAACACTTTCGTATAAAAAGTTCAAAAAAGCTCGAAATAATCAAGCTCGTGCTTGTAAGTTTCGAAGGAAGAAGCAATAAATCGTTGTGCTGTTTTCGTTTTCCAAAAGAGCTATAGAAATGAATAGAGGCTTCACTTCGGACGACTTCGTATCACTTCGGGTTTTTCCCGATTTGTTTCTCATAAAATTCTTGCAATAACAAAATTGCTGAAACTTTAAAACTGTTTCAGTTTTTTACTGTTTGGAGACAGAGTAAGCAAATATTTTTCTGCTTTCGCATAATTTCATTATACGTGCTTGACTACTTAAACTAAAAAGTAGCATAAAATTGGCTCGAAAATAATATTCAAAATGGGTAAAGGCGTTTAATATAGCTCGTAATTACCAAATTTATATCCCCCAAATGTTTTTAGTCCTCATGCTGAAACTTTTTTCAGCCCTACCGCCTATGCTATTATAACCACTACAGTCTCGAAAACTAAAGCTTTTGGATTTCTCACAAGTTGGTAATAAATAAGTAAAACACTTTGGTGAAGGCAATTTTAGAAAATTAATCATTGTTAAGCCTATTTAGCCCTTGGTATTTGGTATTGATACTACAAAGTTCGGGTCCATTCAAAAACTGTTTCCACTTTACGGCATAAATTTTTTCCAACTGAACCTTAGAGTAAATCTTCCTGCATATACTAACAGCTTAAAGCTTTCAAATTTTACTCACCTCGATAGAAATTTCGCATTTAAACCTATCTTAGGGGATTAAAACTTTAAATAATGTAAATATTTAGGCACAGATGGGTTGAAGCTTGACGAAAAAGTCGGTGGGGGAGACTTCAAGCGACTAAACTAATTTACTATTTTTTCTTGATATTTGAATGAATACTAACGTTTTTCCAACCATATAAATTGGGTTATATCTCCGGAGTTTAGGCTTTTAAAATTACAGCATATCTGGATCTGAGGTGGCAAAACCATAGTAATCACATTAAATTGGCAATCTAGAATATTATTATTTTATTTTTTAATCGCACAAATATTTACTATGAATAAAAGTGTTTGGAAAAATGTACTCCAGATTTATAAAAAATATTTAAATATATATATATATATATATACCTTTTTAAATTTCTCACAGTGTACAAATGTTAAGCTTTTTCCCATTGAATTATTCCTTGCAGACACTTATAACGATTTTGTCACATTTTTCCCCCATTCTTTTTCGTCCAACCAGCAGTAATATTTTGCAATATATATTTGGTAAGGGTGTGGCTACATTGGCGTTCCCTGAGAAATTTTATGTGTGCGACACCAATAAATAAAAGTTGCTTAGCAAAAAAAAAAAAAACATTACAAAAAATAAAATTATAAAAAAATGGAAATAAAATCTGCATACGTTTTGCACACAACCAAACACTATGTGAATCGCAATGAAACGAATAAAAGCCAAATGTGTAAAAAAAAAAATTAAAAAAAAAAACTAAAAAACAAAACGTAATTCAGCATTTCCAGCCAAAAAATGGGCTCCCTGCGCCAACAACTCTTTACAATTCTACATCTGTTCAATACCCCACATACATACTTGATCGCCGAAGCGCAAAAATGAGGTGAACACATACTCAACCCGGTGAAAATGTACGAGAAAATTCCACAAAAAAAAGAAGACTGTAAAAAATGGAAATAAAAAATATTACAATATCAACGCAGCAAATATAGAATGAATGTGAAAACTTATGACTCGTTGCTGCCCCATAATTCATGTGAATTCGAAACGAAATACCTTGACAGATGCAGACACACACAGACTCACATTAAAACTCCACTGCAACGTACTGCAGGCATAGTCGTCTGCCTAAGATCAAGTTCTGAGCTACTGCTGCTGCTCCACCTCAGCAATGCGCTCGAAATTGAAAATACACACAACCACAGGAACACACACTCACACACACACACATATGCAAATAACATATATGCCAGAATTGAGTGGCGAAGGAGTTTGAGTAAAATTTGAAATTTACGACACATTCATATTGATTTTCAACAGATTCAGACAGCTTAGAAAAACCTTCATTTATTTGTACATACATATTTATGACGATTGGTTTCTGGTTTGCTGCTGATGTGTATGTATGTGTGGGTGTGTATGTGTGTGGGGGTGTTATTTTGTTTTCATCTTTTTTCGGCTGCAATTCCTGCGCGACTGCTTATAAAGAGCAGCTTGCTGCGGAGCGAGCGTATATGTGTGTGAGTGTGCATCTCTAAGTGGGGATTGTGGCCAAGGTGATGATTAGAGTGTGTGGCAGGCTGGAGATTTGTGAAAAACATGCATAACGTAAGCTCACTGGCGGGTTGGTAGCTGGCGTTGCTCAGATTTCTAATTCGTTCAAATAAGTATTATTTACATTTATACATATGGAAGACACTTAAGACTGAAGGAGACAAAAATTATTTATTTTAGCTTTGCAGAAGAAAATCACAACGTAACAATTTTTCCATATGCAAAATCTAATACAATTTAAAAAAAAAAAATTTACAGCTTTTCTCAGCGTCACACATAGGTCAAGAGTTTTCTAAGCGACCTCTTTTTGATATTAGTGGAGATTTTGTGGTTTTTTAATAAGGCATAACAACTTTCATTTAATTTCATAAATTTCCATTAATACGTGTTGGCCCAACTGAGCTTGAGCTGCTTTCATATCAAGTTCTTTGATATTAACTCGCTCTTAAGCTGGTTCAGTGCGCTGATTACCACCAACTAACGAATAGAAAGCTCCCCTCATAATAGGAATACTATTTTTTACTCCAACCTTTAGGAAATAATAAGCCAGTTGACGTAGAAGGGTTGCCGATTTAGAAACATAAGACTGTAGAGCCTTTTACAAGGATAATATATAATATTATTCCTGTTGCCGGGTGGTTAGCGCTGCATATTGCCATTCGCTTGGCCCGGATTCAAATCCTGGTACGATCAACATCTAAGAGTTATTTTAGTTAATTCAAATAATAAGTAAAAAAAAATTTAAGTTGAATTTTCTTATTGTGGTCGCCCCTGGCAGGGAATGTTAACCCCTCCGAGAGTATTTCTGACTTGAAATAAAGGCTCCTCATAAGCAACAAGGCATATAAAGGAAACTTTTTCTGTCAGGATCCCAATTACCACAGAACTGTCTCCTTTTTCCAGATCGTATCAAAAAAATACTCATGGTCTGAAACGGATATGTTTATCTTGAATCGTTCTTTACCTAGAAGCATCCACTTGAAAATACCATGCCTAGCAAGATCATATGCTCTGCGATTCTACTTTAAGACCACATACCCGGTCAACGGATAGCTCGTTCCATTTAGCTAACTCTTATTTGAACTAAATCAGCCCGATTTTTGGATTTTATAATTAGCGTGATCTAGTATGGATTTGATGTTGGAAATACTTTCTCTTATTCATAACAGCCGTCCGAGATCAACTACAGGGTTCTGCCTCTAGGTATAGTGTTCTTTTAAAAAGACTCCCAAGAATTATGAACCATCCGTACATTAAAAACAAATAATTAAGTTAGAAAAAAAGGAGTATCAAAAGGTTAGAGAATAAGACCAGAAGTCCGACAGCTTTCTTAAAATTATCATCGAGAAATTAAAGCTGTAGTTATGATCTGCTCCCATCTTAAAGAGACCCCCGCGTACCAAAGACAAATGGGTTGAATGTAGTTTCTGACGAAGAGAAGTAGTAGACTCTTTGAAGAACGAGTCGCAACGAAAATAGTGCCCAGATTGTCTAGAGAAGGTCGAGCTGGCCCACTTCGAGACACTTTTGGACATTTGAATGGCTCTATAGTAACTTTGGCTCTATGCCAGCATGTCAAAAAAATTAAAAAAATGTATATTTTTGTTGTTGCCATGCGATATGCAACTTTTTTGCCAGTCTACTATAATATATTTGTTTATACAGAGAAGTTATAAAATCATACCTAACGACTGTTCTAAGAATTTCCTTCTTTTATTGCATCCTCATACTTTTTATGCTGCCCATAGATTCAAAATTCTATTTATTATGATTTCGTTTCAATTCACTTTTTATTACTTATGGTTTTGTTTAAATTTGATTTTTTTTTGTTCATACCATGA